GTGGAAAACCTCCTGCCTTGTTCCAGTACCCAAGAAAACTCACCCATCAGTCCTTAATGACTGACCTGTTGCCCTGACATCCTACAGCATGAAGGTCCTAGAGAGACTTCTGTTGGCCCACTTGACTAAACAAACAAGCACATATCAGGACCCACTGCAGTTTGCTTATCGGCGTGGACTTGGAGTTGAAGATGTCATCATACATCTGCTTCAGCAAACTCACTGTCATCTAGAAAAGGCAGACAGCACTGTGAGAGTCATGTTCTTTGATTTTTCCAATGCATTTCACACACTCCAGCCTGATCTGCTTTGTCAGAAACTCCAGAAGACTCAGGTGGAGGCCTCAACAATCACCTGGATCAAAGACTACCTGACAAACAGACCACAGTTTGTGAGACTGAAGGGTTGTGTGTCTGACCAGGTGGTTAGTAGCTCAGGAGCACCACAAGGGACTGTACTCTCACCATTCCTTTTCACTCTGTACACCTCAGATTTCCAGTACAAAACAGACTCCTGTCATCTGCAGAAATATTCTGATGACTCTGCAGTGGTCGGGTGTATCAGAGATGGACAAGAAGCTGAGTACAGGGAACTAGTAGACCACTTTGTGGCATTGTGAAAACAATCATCTCATCTTGAATGTGAACAAAACAGAGGAGATGATTGTAGATTTCAGGAGAAACAGGAACAGGTCCAACCCTATTTCCATCATGGGAGAAGAAGTGGAAGTGGTGGAGAAGTATAAATACCTTGGGATTCACCTGGAAAACAGACTGGACTGGAGATGCAACAGTGAAGCCATTTTCAAGAAGGGACAGATCAGACTGTACTTCTTGAGGAAGCTGAAGTCCTTCAGTAAGGCCTTCCATATCTCCTATAAGTCTGTTGTAGAGAGCACTATCTCTTCTGCCATCATTTGTTGGGGTAGCAGTGCCAGAGTAAATTACTTAAAAAAGATCAAGAAGCACATAAAGAAAGCTGACTCGGTTCTGGGGACTCCTCTAGAACCTTTGGAGATGACTGTACAAAGAAGGATTCTTCATAAAATGAAGAACATTATAGACAACCCTCTGAAATATAAAGTCATGAGGTGGTTAAAATGATTACTAATAACAAAAAACAACAAATTTCTTGATGTAACAACAACTTTTTTCTCTCTCTCTGCGGTCCAGTGAAGGCAGACGTGTCTCCCTGTATCCCCCCCCCCCCCCGCTCTCTTTCGTCTTGTGAACCCTTAAAGAGCCTCTTTTTTTCCCTACATACCTTCCTAATTCGAAGGATTTGATCAGCTAGTCTCTCAACAAAATTGATCAACTTCTCCCAACAGGAGTCAGGGTAAGGAGGACCCTCTTGCCTCGATGGAAACAAATTGGATTCATGATGACAATTGGATTTTGTTGTTTGGGTCGGTGAAATCAGGATTGTCTACAAATTTGTGTGGACGTGTCGAAGCTTGACAGCAATCAGACTGAATTATGTGAAGCTCCGCCAGAGTTGGAGCAGGCTGTTATCAGGACTGTGAACTTTCTGGCAGCACCCATGAATGGTTGGGAATAATCTTGGAGAAGCTGTGAGCTCGACTTCCAGCGTAAAGAATCAATTCAGCTGTTTGGAGTCACCACCGAAGAAATGTACCAGCGAGACTTTAAAAGGCAGAAACGGCAATTTGCAAGTTTTACCTGACCCAAACTGTGGCCTTGACGGCGGACTTATCTCAACTCTTCCTGACATGTTTAGGAAAAACAAAGATGCTTTGTCTGTCTCCTCACCCCTCCCTTCCCCAAGGCCGTGGACATGTGACAGAACCTCATCCGAGCTGATGATGAATAATACCTCTTATCTGGACAATGGCTGGTGGTGGGGTGGGGGGGGGCTCTGTACTATGCTACGACCTTCCCTTCATTCAATGTCTTCAACGGCCTATATGTACATGTATCACATCTATTCATGTGCTATGTTGTGGTAGGTTTTTTGATGCCTCAAATCGTGCCCTGTCTAGGACAAGGTGTGAGAGATCTTTTTTTAATACTGTCTCTCCTCCTCTTTTTTGCCTTTTTTTTTCCATCCATCCATCCATCCATCCATCCATTATCTTTTACCCACTTCTTCCATTTTGAGTCACGAGGGTCGCCGGTGCCCATGCCCAGCAATCACTGTGCGAGGGGTGGGGTTCACCGTGGACAGGTCGCAAGTCCATCACAGAGACACATAGAGACAAAGGAGACAAACAACCATTCTCTCTCTCACTCTCACCTGGGGACAATTTAGTTACCAATAAGCCTAACATGCATGTTTTTGGTCTGTGGGAGGAAACAGGAGTACCCGGAGAAAACCCACGCATGCATGGAGAGAACATGCAAACTCCACCCAGAAAGACCCCCGGACCGGGATTTGAACCAGGGACCTGCTCATTGATAGGCAGCAGCTCTACCAGTTGCACCACCGTGCTGCCCTTCTCTTTTCTCATCTAAGCAAAAATATTATTCTGAGGAAGAATAAGAGGGCCGCGCTAATTAGCAGCAGCTTCGTGCACTCCGCCCATCTTTCGGACAACTGAACGTACATGTTCTCGTTGTATCTCGGTGCAATGATAATAAAGCTTATACTGATTCTGAACTTTTTGTGATTTCTTTTTGTTTTGTTTCCGAACCTTAGACCAAACAAGGTGTTGATGCAGCAGGACAAAGATCCTAAACAAAGGAACAAATCTGCAGCAAAATAGCTGGAAAAAAAAGAACTGAGGCATTCCAGTCCGGTCAATGTCAAAACCACAACCTGATTAAACCACCATAAAGAGTTGCAGAACCAAATAAAGAAAACATTTTTTACAAAACAAAGCTATGATGATAGGTAGCTCAGTTGGTAGAGCTGTTGCCTCTCAGTGAGAAGGTCGCCGGTTCAAATCCCAGCCCGGGACCTTTCTAGGTGGAGTTTGCATGTTCTCTCTGTGCTGCGTGGGTTTTCTCCAGGTACTCCAGTTTCCTCCCACAGACCAAAAACATGCATGTTAGACTGACTGGTAACTCTAAATTGTCCCTAGGTGAGAGAGAGAGAGTGAATGGTTGCATGTCTCGTTTGTCTCTATGTGTCCCTGTGATGGACTGGAGACCTGTCCAGGCTGTCCTGCGCCTCTCACACAGTGATTGCTGTATACGGGCACCAGTGGCCACCGTGACCAAAAAAGAAGCGGGTAAAGATAATGGATGGATGGATGATGGTAGGAACAAAAATCTAAATTCTGATAAGGTTATGTTACACAATAACTTTTAGTCATTGCTGCTAAAGGTGGTTCTACAGTCTATTCCAGGCTATTCAACTGGTGGCTTGCAGGCCACTTCTGGCTCGCGGGTGACTTCAGTCTGACCCACCAATGAGTTCATGACCAAAAAAAAACAAACAAAAAACAAACTATATATATATATATATATATATGGATTTGGTTTGGGTTCTGTTTATTGCAGTTATTATTCAATGCAACAAAATAAATAAATTTAAAAGGTAACAGATCATTATCCTGATGCTGCTCAATAATCCAGGTAGAAAAATCTAAAAAAGTTAAATCTGGTCCTCTGGACAGTCAAAAAACAAAACAAAGCAAAACAACAAAAAAATGTAGAAACATTTCATCTCTCATCCGAGAGACTTCCTCAGTCTGAGGTGCTGTATTCAGCTCAGTCTCTTGAATAGCACCTTCTCAGAGTGGATCAACCAGTTTGCTGCTACTGTTTCTTGACCATGTGAGCAGCTGGTTTTGGTTGTCAGCAGCAAACTGGTTGATCCACTCTGAGAAGGCGCTATTTATAAGACTGAGCTGAATACAGCACCTCAGATTGAGGAAGTCTCTCGGGTGAAAGATAAAACGTTTCTACGTCTTTTTTGTTGTTGTTTTGCTTTGTTTTGTTTTTTTGAAAATCCAGAGGACCAGATTTAACTTTTTTAGAGTAACAGATCATTGTTTATTTACATAATGACTTTAATTGATGGATGTCCAGCCCCTGAGCTGCTGGCTTTCATAAACTGTGGCCCCCGGAGCAGTTTTGTTGAATAGCCCTGGTCTATTCTATCATACATAGGTGTCGCAACCATTATATGTGAAGGGGACAAATCCCCCACACATTTAAAAAACGTTCATGTGGAACCCCCCCCCCCCCAACATTAGTTCAGGCGGCGCAGTTTCTCTTTCTTCATGAACAAATCCATTCCACTTGATTAAAAGGAGAATACTCAAACCACTAAAACTCCACTCCAGGTTTTCCTGGTTACCTCCAACTCTCCACACAGAGCAGAAACTGTGCAGCTGCTGAGTCTCCTGCCTCGGCAGAAAAGGTGCACAGGTGGAGGAGGTGGAGGTTCCTGTGTTACTCGCCAGTTTAGCGAGTTTAGTGCGGGCATGTGTTGACCAGGGGGTTGATCATCAACATGTATTCATGTTAGGAGGATGTTTGAGAGGAGCTACGTCTGTAGCATGTTCTCTCAGCAGTAACTGTGAGACTCTGCAGGTGGAAGAGACTCTGTGTGTTCAGGTGCATTAAAGTAGAAATGTCTTTAAAATCCACACCTTACTGTCCTCAAGCTTCATGACAAACATCATTTACATGAGGAGTGTTGAACACAAGTAAAAAAGTCCAGTGATGGTTTTTATTTCTCTATAAAGACAAATAGTGCCGACCTGACGCTCTGTGTTAAAGTGTATTAAAGATAAAATGTCTTAAAACCACAGATGAATTTACACAAACTTGGTGAGAAACATGTTTTAAATGTGTGGAATTAAAGGAGATCCAGGAGAAATGTTGCTTTTTTGTATATTAGTGTACACTTCTTTAACACGCGTGGACCACGTGCGCGCACACACACCTACACACATCATTGTGTCCCCCCCCCACATTACGGATGCTTCTGACGCCCTTGCTATCATAAAACAGAAACATCTAGCACATGCAGGAGGACAGTGAGCCAAGAGGGCCAGAACTGTAAATCACTGACCTAAGATTTCGTATTACCTTGATCTCTTTTCGAGTTTCCCCTGGTTTAAATAGCAAAGTTCCCTTTGTGAATTCATAGTCTGATCCAGCATTGGCTGACCCATTTTCTGTGCAGTAGTCCACATAGAATGTGTCCTGGCCTGTGCCACCATCAAGGATCACTCCCAGAATCAGAAAGCCACAGTTTTCAGTGCACTGGTATTGGTCACGTTCAAAACAAATATGTGAGCATGTTGCTTTTTCACCACCCTGTCTTTCTGCACGCCGTCTGTGATCAGCAGCATGCTTCCTTAATATGTTTCCTGCTCCGATCAACATGCGTGTTGCCTGGACACGGTGGAAGGCACGACTCTTCTTTTGGTGAACTAAAGCAGAGTAGTTGGCCATCTCGATCAGCTGATCCAGGTCTTTGTCTGGATGTTTCTCCTTCAGATCTTTCAAGATACGGACCACCTATTTAGGAGAGGAAACTAGTTTTAATGGAAAGAAGACAAGGCAAGAACCACCCAGTATCTTTGCACCTCAGTCACATGACTTACCTCCTCTTTGTTCTGGTCTAGTTCGTTGCCTGTCTGCACAGACACCATCACATTAGAGGGCTTTTCAAGGCATGAATTACCATCTGACAATTTTTCATCAATGATAACATCAATGTCTTTGAAGGAATTGTCCCCTTCCATTTCCACCACTATGCCATGCCTCTTGTCAGCACGGTACTGCTTGTGCATGCATTTGTAAAAAAGTAACCGTCGGTCAGCGATCCAAGCCAACAAGACACATACCGGGAAGAAAAACAGTGTCACTGCAGCTTCCCACACCTGGGGATGCAAAAACATAACCATTAGATAATTCGTATATTTGGTTAAATAAAAATGTGGTGACGTTGGGCGATATGCTAAAATGTTCCATAGGCCATCATCAGTCGAACAACCGGTGACTGGAAAGATATTTGCCCAAATGTTTTTAAGCATGCTCGGGCCTGGAAAGCAGTTTCATAACGGTGAGGGCAGACATGAATTAACATCTAATTTAATGTCCTTGTCACAGCGAACACTATTTTTGAAATCTGGAACCTTCACTAAAACTTTGTTTAATCTTATGTTCCTGCAGAGCAAGAAGGTGAGAAAGAAAAGTTTCACCACCATAAATTGGCAGTTGACATAAGAATCGTAAGCAGCCATGGCTTCATTAATTTGTGCACAACCTTTAACGCATGAATAAAAGTGAATAGGCACCAGTAGAGGACACAATGGTTTATATTCATTAAACCTCCACCACAGAGTTTACGGTGCCACTTTAGCTGATAATAATATCATTAAAACAAGCAATTGTTTCAGTTGTCCAAGAGTCTGTGCATAACAGCTGATGAGTGATTGGGAAAGTGTTACTGTAACAAACTGACAGGCGATCCGAGATTTAAAAAACTGCACAACAGTAAAGCTTCAGCTGGTTCTTAGGGATCCGTTTTTTAAAATGTGGCTGCTGTTTGTTAAAAGTCATAAATTAGAAAAAAGAATAGTGCATCTTAACAAGATTGGTTTTAACTTTGCACCTAAATTTTATATATTGGTTTATTTTCATTCATTCAGGATAATCCCACTGAGCCTCGAGGATTCATTTACAAGAGAGACCTGATTTACTGTGAAATGACACCGAACTCCATAATTCATGTTGAGACATCAAGACTTTTTCTTCCTTTTCTTTCTTGGTTCTTTACGCATCTTTTGATTTTTCCAAAACAAACATTTCTCTAAAATTAATTTTTTAAAATTAATTAATTAATTAATTTTTGATGCGCAGTTTTTAGAGCTGCTGCCTCTCAGCGAGCAGGTCCCTGGTTCAAGTCCCGGTCCGGGGACGTTTCTGGGTGCAGTCTGCATTATATGCGTGGGTTTCCTCCCACAGACCAAAAACATGCATGTTAGACTGATGGTGACTCTAAACTGACTGTAGGTGAGTGACAGAGTGAATGGTTGTTTGTCTCGTTTGTCTCTATGTGTCCCTGTGATGGACTGGAGACCTGTCCAGGGTGTCCCCCACCTCTCAGACAGTGATGGCTGGACATGGGACCAGTGATCCCCTCGACCCGAAAAGGAAAAAGCGGGTAAAGATAATGGATGGATGGATTTTTGATGTTATTTTTTGATGATGTTGATGCACTTAATCAAGTTTATTACACTGAGTTCAAGTTTGGGTTTGAATTGTTCAGTCATTACCAGTCAAAGCGCTAGAGAGAGAAAATGACACCTGCTAAAATGAAACAAAACAATCAAACTCCAAAAGTTAATGGCCGACAGTCGTCCAATCACCCAACCAAAGGTGTAGTCATGTCACGTAAAAACAATCGTACCTCCACAATCCCAGGTGAGATAACAGCCAGGATGAGGTAGAGCCAAATGTAGGCAAAAATGCTCCAGAAAGCCGTGATGAAAAACACTCGCAGGTGTTTGATCTTGCGAGACTCTCCTTCTGGGATTACCCACACACACAGACCAATTATCACAAACAGATTGAAGGCTGCACTTCCCACGATGGTGCCTGGGCCCAGCTCCCCGGACTCAAAGTTATGTCCACACACCTGGACAAAGAGGAGCAAAATGTAAGCACAGTTATTCTTAATACACGTGTATAATGTCCACATGTGTTGTTTGATTTGTGGTTTTATTGTTCTGCAGTTCATATCAAGCATTGTGCTAAATGCAAGTTTATTACTGTGAAAGTAGGGTGAAGGTGAACAACAAGATTTTTGTAGGTCTGCGTGTGACTGTGTGTTCTATTTCATTGTGGTGCTTGCCCTTTAAGCCACGCTCACTCGTGGGTTTAATTCTGCACGCAGGCGCTAACACTGAAAAAACTCTAGTCCACGCCCCCCCACTGTGTGGGTCCCACCGCTGTCTGTATAAATAGGCTACGGACCCGGCGGTCTACTCCCCATTTTATTCAGCCAGCGAAGCAGCACTTGGAAAAGAAAAAAGAAAACCAAGAACAGAAAAAGATGTTAGCGGACGGATATATCCGCTGCTCCAAATGGCGCAGTCTGCCATCTGCCTCTGAGCAGAACACACAGGTAGGCTCTCGATTTTTTCTTATTGGTGACTCTTTTGTGCAAGGACTGCCACAGCAAGTGAAGCTGCTGTGGGTTCAAGTCCAGGTTGCATCAGGAGTAAAACAATCATCAAATCAGCCGGTCAAAGCAGATGGTCTCTTGTCCTGAGCTGGTTCTGCTGGAGGTTTCTTCCTGTTAAAGGGAGTTTTTCTTTCCACTGTCTCCACTGTGCTTGCTCAGGATGGGAGACTGCAACGAAGCCAAGATTCATCTTGTCTGCTGGATTCTTAGATAGAGAACTTTACTAATTGTCTTTTATGTGAATGTTCCTGTAAAGTCCCTGAGACAACTTTGTTGTGATTTGGTGCTTTATAAATAAACTGAACTGAATTGAAATCTTCCATGTGAGTTTGTGCACTGAGTGATTTCTGCAGAATGGAGCAGCCAAAAGAAAATTAGTTTCTAGCACTTTTGTGGACTTCACATTAGCAGAGCAGTTTTTTCCTCATGGTTAAAGTAGATACATGTAGGTACCTCAATGACGGAGAGCAGGATCTCTGGAGCCGAGGAGCCCAGGGCCATAAGGGTCAGGTTAGACACAGTCTCATTCCAGATTCGTACAGTTGTCACTGTGGTTTCACCGTTGGGTTTGGTGATGGTCACCTGTTTTTCCTGGTATGATTTCAGTATCCACACAGAGCAGAAAAAGCTTGTTATCCACATGCTTGCATACATAAGCTCACAGCACAGATAAGTCATCTATGCTTGTATTTCTAAAACTGAATGAAACTTAGATGGACATGAGCTGATTACCTCTAGTGTCAACCCAATTCAAGATGGCTGCCATAGACAAGTGACTTTGGAAAACACAGAGATTGCTATAATTCTGTTTTATAGATTTATGCTAAAACCTGATGTGGTAGTAGATGATTCAGTAACATCACAAACTCTGTGCTACTCCACAAGAACTTGGAGTCAACCCTGTTTGTCTGTTAGCAAAATATCTCAAGACACACTGGACACATTTTGTGAAACACTTAGAAAGTAATCAAGACAAACACAGCAAGGATTCCAAATGACGTAGCTTAAATATCTTGGATAAATATTAAACACTGTGATACCTGGGAGGTAATGACTTCAATTGATGCCATGAAGCGGTCTGCAATGATGGACACACCCAGGAACATGTACATGAGACACAGGAAGTAGATGATAGCCCTCCCTGCCTGCTCCCCTACCGGAGGGTTGAGTGGCAGCCACACGGGCAGAAGAATACCAGGTCTACACACCACAACACCTGCACAATGTTTCTTTTCAAGCACTGTGGTGTTATTAAAGGACTGGGTCATCTCAGGACTGGATGCTCGCTCAATGACCTGAGACCTAAAGGAGGTGCAGGGGTGGCAGAGGAGGAGCAAAGAGAGGAGGAGAAAGAGGAATGGGGTGAGGTGAACTGGAAGGAGTTCCATGGTTTCCCTGAGCCAGATGAGCCCTCGAGGTTGGGGATCGCTTGTGGAGCTGCAGGTCCCAACACAAACCTAGAAAAGCAAAAAGAGTTTTTAAGCTACAAGGCAGGCATAACCGATTTCATAGTGGAGCTTAGTTTACACTCTAAGAAAAGAAACTACTTGTTACCTACATATTTACATGAACATTAATTTAACAGACCCATGTACAAAAAAACTGATGTCTAAGCAATAAAAGAAAGCTCATGTGACACCCCGATAATGTGTGAGGGAGTAGACAGGACCTAAAGCTCCACATTGTTAGTGCGCAGACACTGGCAGAAAAATACAACATGGCCGCTTCCGTAAGAGTTACTGCTGGCTCCCAACAACAAGAAAAAGTTACGTTATAAAAGAACGTGTGGTCTGTAATTTGTTTTGTTGTTGTTGTTGTTGTTTTGCAAGACAGAAGAAGACGTTTCACTGAAATGCCTCCATGAAAAGGTCAGGGTCTGGTCATGAGAACTTCATCTTAGCACAATCAAAGATCATGTCCACATTTGAGAAAGAGAAAAAACTGGATGGAATATTTTTTTCATTCATTCATTCAACCTTTATTTAGACAGGTAAATCCCATTGAGCCTCGAGGACTCATTTACAAGAGAGACCTGATTTCAACAAAGAATGATGACAACAATGGACAACAGCGACAACAATAAACAGTTATAAAAGGGCATACAGATTTTATTTATTTATTTATTACAAATAAGTTGGCAAAAAAAAAAAACAGCTAGATTCTAAGGCGAATGTAGAAAACTAAAAACAGGAACATGTCAGCATTGGACCCTGCCAGGAGTCCAACAGATTCTTAAAGCCACTTAGAGAGGTCAAAGGTCGAGAGCTTCAGGTCTTTTTGTAAGATATTCCAGGAAACAGGAGCGGAGTAGGAGAAGGTCCTTTTGTCTAGTTCAGTCCTCACTGAGGGAACACTGCAGGTAATGATGTCCTGAGAGCGCACGCTGTAGCTGCACTCACGCAGAGACATGTAGGAGGAGATATATGAAGGCAGCAGACCAGGAAGTGATTTAAAGATGAAGATGTACCAGTGAGAGAGTCTGTGTGAAGTTAATGGTGACCAGTTAACCAGTGAATACAGGGTGCAGTGGTGGGTACGGTAGTTACAGCCAGTTATGAATCTTAGTGCACCATGATAGACAGCATCCAACATCTGCAGCATCCAACATCTACAGCATCCAACATCTGCAGGGTTCTTGTAGGAGCGTTCATGTAAATAATGTCACCGTAATCAATGGAGGGAAGGAAAGTCACAGATACAAGGTGTTTCCTAACATTCAGAGTTAGACAGGATCTGTTTCTGAAAAAGAAACCCAGTTTAACTTTCAGTTTCTTTACCAAGTTTTCCACATGGAGCTTAAAAGAGAGATGTGAGTCGACCAAGATACACAAATATTTATAGGAATCAACAAACTCAATGGGGACACCATTTGAGGATAAAATCGGAGGAAGAACTGCTTGGACCAACTTCCTATTTGAAAAAAGCATCCCTTTGGTTTTGTCGGCATTTAGGACAAGTTTGAGGTGGAACAAATCTGACTGGATGATGTCAAATGCGTATTGGAAAACCTGGAAATCCTTATCTGTTTTAGCTCGACAATAAACAACTCGGTCAGCATAGAAATGTAAAGATGTGTCAAGGATGCTCTGACCTACATTACCTACTGTATGTAGATTGTAAAGAGGGTGGGTCCTAAGACTGAGCCTTGTGGTACACCATTGTTGACTGTTAAATAACTGGAGGAAGTACCATTATGTTGAACACATTGCCTCCGGTCTGAAAGATACTTAGAGAACCAACCAATGGTGTGTTCTGAGAAACCGATTTCTGAGAGTTTATGACACAAGATGTTCTGATCCACAGTGTCAAAAGCTTTAGACAGGTCTAAGAAAAGTGCAGCAACTTCAAAATAAATTCTCACCCTGTATATGAAACATATTTCAAGTAATGATTATGAGCTAAATCCAGATTTTCCATCTACAGTGTTTGGTAAATAACTAAAGTGTCATAATAAAGGTCAAGATATTTTTAATACATCTTTATGGTCAACATTTATACTGAAATGATAAATCGGTGGAAGGTAACAGCCTCTTTAATGACACACTGTGGCTCCAGAGCTGGACATAAACAGACTGTAGGTCTGTTGCCATTATTTTGCTGGAGAATCATCTGAAAAACACACATAGCATGTTTTACTAAACAATTTTTAATCAACATTTCCTGGTACATACGTTTACGCTCGGCTCTATACCAGATAGCGTTAGCTTACCATCGCTCATCCTCTAATCATTTCCAACACTCTCCTGTTCTCCTCCAGAGCATTTTGCCTCCCTGCCTGATGTTTGATAAAAAGTCACAGACTGAGCAGTCTTCTCAGTGCTCTATGTGACAAGAGAAGGAAATTAAAAAAACACCTTGTCTATAGCAGTGGGATACCTGGGTTCTGCCAGTCATTCACTCTTCCTTCCACAGCTGATTACCTGTAACTCACTCCACCTGCTGCTGCTCTGAGGAGGACTGCCTGACGGTGTACTTAAGCTCCAGCCAGACACCTCTTTTAACCCCTTGGAGGTAGGCTAGGTTTGTGTGGTCGGTACATATTATGAAGGTGAGTTCGGCTCCCTCTAGCCAATGTCTCCACTCTTCTAATGTTATCCAACAATTTTCAGTCAGGTCATCTGGACAGTTTCTTTTTTTGTGCTGAAACGTTTCGCCTTTGATCCGGAAGGCTTCATCAGTCAAGGAAACACACAACAAAACTGATTCTTCCCCCAACAGCTTACTCTAAAGTGTCAAACTGGTTGAAAACAACAAAGTCCAGGCTCAATAATCCCACCAGTTTGACATGACTGTCAACAAGGAAGAGGGCCAGCAATGGAGGAGGAGCCGTACCAAACAGACCATCTTATCACAAACAAAACTGGTTTGTTCCACTTTGGAGTAAGCTGTTGGGGGAAGAATCAGTTTTGTTGTGTGTTTCCTTGACTGATGAAGCCTTCCGGATCAAAGGCGAAACGTTTCAGCACAAAAAAAGAAACTGTCCAGATGACCTGACAGAAAAATTTTAGATTATATACCTGGATTATTGAGCATGGACTTTGTTGTTTTCAACCAGTTTGACACTTTGGAGTAAGCTGTTGGGGGAAGAATCAGTTTTGTTGTGCGTTTCCTTGACTGATGCCTTGTGGCCAGGTGGTCCTTGTTCTTTGCTAGGGTTCTTTGCTGGGGGGAGCCCAGGGAGACACGTCTGGCTTCAATGGAGGACGGAGTAAACTGTTTTTCCAAGTCTGCTCATTTCATTCCCTTGCTTAATCTTCCCTCTGCTCTTGAGACTGCCCAGATTGTCAATTCAATTCAGTTTATTTATATAGCACCAAATCACAAAGTTGTCTCAAGGCACTTTATAGGAGCATTCACATACATAGAAAAGCTAAATTGTCACTGAACATGTCTTTTGCCTTCACAGCATCTCTCAGGACATTGTCTCCGACCATAGACTGCAGTTTATTTCTCAAGTGTGGAGAGGGTTTTGTCGAGCTTTGGAGGCAACTACCAGCCTCACGTCTGGATACCACCCTCAATCCAACACCCAAACAAAGCGTTGCAACTAGGAACTGGAAATAACCCTGAGGTGTGTCATTGACAACAACTCCTCATCCTAGAGCCAACACCTGCCTTGGATTGAGTATGCCCACAACTCACAAACCTCTGCAGCCACTGGAAAATCCTCTTGAGGTTATGATGGGTTTGACTCCTCCACTGTTCTCTTCACAAGAGCCTGATGTGGGCATCCCCTCCATCCATCTTCATAGCAGACGCTGCCACAAGATCTGGTGCCAGACGAGAGCAGCCCTGTCCAGATCTTCAGAACATAACAGGCGATTTGCAGACAGACACCAGTCCAAGGCTCCAAAGTACAAAGTCGGCCAAAAGGTATGGCTTTCTACAAAGGATATAACTTTTAAAAATACCCCAGGAAACTCTCCCCCAGGTTGATCGGGCTGTTTCCTGTGATGAAGGTGGTTAACTGGTCGGCGGCCTGTCTCCAACTCCCGCCATCCATGAAGATACACCCTATCTTCCATGTCTCGCATTAAACAGGTAACCAACAGCCCTCTACACCCTCTGGTCAGTCTTGCTCCACCCCACCCCCCGTCTCAACAACAAACCTGCCTTCTTGGTCCGACGCATTCTGGACGTATAGCGTCGTGGTCGGGGAGTCCAATACCTTAGTGGACTGGGAGGGCTACGGTCTGGAGGAGCGATCTTGGGTTCCTAGATACCAGATCTTGGACCCTGGACTCATCTCGTCTTTCTTTCATGCTCACCCCGAGAAGAGACTTAGATCACCGAGAAGCGATTCTTGGGGGGGGGGCACTGTGGAATTCCTGGATTTTGCCTGTCACTCGCTCTTCCTTCCATAGCTAATCACCTGTAACTCACTCCAGCTGCTGCTGCTCTGAGGAGGACTGCCTGATGGTGTACTTAAGCTTGTGCCAGACACCTCTTCAGTTTTGGAACATCAACTGCCAAATGGTAACTCGTGTACAGCCAGCTAACCTTTTTGTTACAACTGGCTCTCACCACCTATGATTTTTTCCAGGACCTTCCACGTCCTGCCTCTTCAAGTCCTTCCTAGGACCTCATCTCTCCACTGGGCTCCACCTGTGGATCAACAGTGTCCCTT